CACACACACACACACACGCATACACATGTGCACACACACACACACACACACACACACACACACACACACACACACACACACACACGCACCCCTGTGCCACTCCTCCTTTGTTTCTTTTTGAGACAAGATCTCACTATGTAGCTCTAGCTGTCCTGTATCTCACATGTAGATCAGGTTGGCATCAAAATCATAGACATCTGCTTGCCTCTGCCTCCCAAGTGCAGGGTTAAAGGAGTGCAACACTGTGTCCACCCAGTTTAGTCCTGTTGAGACCCAGTCTCATTATGTCACTCAGGTTGTCTTTTCAATCTGAGATCTTCCTGCCGCCTGGTTTCGGAATTACATGCTTATAGTATCTTATCTGGATTTCTTTGTAGTGTCTTAAAACCTCATTCAACATGAATGATTTATAGTTGACAGCTCATCAAATATGTTACTTACTGATTGTGATTACCATCCCACTATTCCATTCTCTTTTTCACCTACAATTAGGGTCGCCGGGCTGTCAAAGCAGGTGTTTATGCTGCTTGCCAGGAAGCAAAGGAGGATATAAAGGTAACTTTCTGAATTATCTACCAAGGGAATTTCAAAAGGAAATGTAGATTGATTTCTAGAAGCCTAAGTAGAAAAGCCAAGTGATTTTATTGTTGCCATGGTTGGTGTCATGAGTAAAAAGAGGTCTGGGAACTTGGAACTTGCGGGCTCTATGGCTCCTTTTATGAAATATAGGTGGTTACTTAAAGCAATTTGGATGCTTGTTTTCACTGCTGTTACTTGTAGAGTCATTCAGAGAACGTCTCTCAGCACCCACTCCATGTGGAAGTGCTGCACTCCGTGGTTATGGCTCACCAGAAATTCGCTTTGCGCCTTGGCTCCTGGATGAACAAAATTATGAGCTATTCAAGTAAGCATACACCCTATTTATCTGATTTCTAATTAGCTATTGTGTTTTATAAAAGTGTTTAAGTATCATTGAGATTTCTTCTTCCTTGGTCAAGTATCCATTTTGATTGATTTTTGCAGGATTATATTTCAAGTATATAATACTACAAGTTTGTTTTCAAATGCATAGTATCAAATAACATCCTTTATTGGCTCTTGAATCTTTGATGACATGATTATTCTTGGCATCAAACATAACAAGGTTAATTTTAATCTTTTCACATAAGAACACTTTTAGGAGAATATCATATAAGGAAAAATCATTTTCCTTCCTTTATTTGTAGGTGACTTTAGGCAGATCTTTTGCCAAGCCTGCCTCATAGAAGAACCTGGCTCTGAAAACCCCTGTTTTATAAGCAGACTAATGCTTTGGGATGCAAAGCTTTATAAAGGTGAGTAGACCTCCACTTAGAGTACTTCAGGACTCAAGGGGGAGATTATGGCTTCATCGTAGAACCCGGGTCTTCCTTGTGTGTTATATGTGAAGGCAAGGTTAACCAACTTCATTTTTCTTGGTTAAAATCCAGGAATACTGTCTTTTAATAATAGCGCCTTTCATTAGGCAGAGCCAGTTAGAGAGTGTTGAATCAGATTCATGTAACAGTGCTGTCATTAAAGCTGTGTTTTCACTATACAAATCTAAGTGAGAAAGAGAAGGTAAAGGGCGAGAGTGTAAATGGTGTGGAGAAGGAGCAGTACAGAGTAGTTTTGAGAGTCAGTTGAAAATGGTGAGGAGGGCGGGAGAAGTGGCCCGGAGGGTGAGAGGGGCACTGCTCTTGCGGAGGACCCAACCTCGGTACTTAGTTCCAGACTTAGGTGGCTCGAAGCTGCCTGTAACTCCAGCTCCAGGAGATCTGACTTCCTTTTCTAGCCCCTGTGAACATTTGCTGCCAGACACACATGCACGCACACACCTGCACGTAATTAAAAATAAAATAAACCTTAAAAATGTGATTTAAAAAAAAGGTTTGGAGAGGATAAAAGGTAAGGTGAAGTGATGGGAGAGGTACAGAAAACCAAAGACGGAGTTTTTAAAGTAAGTTTAGAATTAAAAATTGTGTTTTAATTCATGATATTAAATATTATTGCATCTTTGAAGCTATTAGCATGGTAATGAAAACAAGCCACCTCTACTATTTCTAATGCCTGGAATAATTTGTCTGTCTTGGTGATGCCCTCACCCTCTGTTCCCAAATGACCCACAGGTGCCCGTAAGATCCTTCATGAATTGATCTTCAGTAGTTTTTTTATGGAGATGGAATACAAAAAACTCTTTGCTATGGAATTTGTGAAGGTAATTGCTGTTTATTTATCAGTAAATATAACATAATTTTTACAAATGAAGTAATGGAAGCAAAGGGATACATATGAAGCTCATTTATAATTCTTTTATTAATTTCTTCATTAAAATATTTTAAATTACATAAGTATTTTCACAAATGGTGGTTGGTAGAATGGAAACAGCAATTTTAAAGAAAATAGTTGAGAAATGACCTGTTTTTCAAGGCCAAGCAAAGGCAGGTTATTACATTCATACGAATATTCATTCTTCTTTGTCTTTTTTTTCACCCATCCTTTTCAATCATTTATTTGCCTTATAGTAAAATTACTGCAAAAATAGAAATGACTGCTTAAGGGATAGCAGGAAAGAGGAACAGTTACATGTGACAGAGGCAGGGAGTAGAAGACCAGTATATTTAACTGAGATTAGAAACACAAAGGTGGGGCCTGGAGAGATGGCTCAGAGGTTAAGAGCACTGACTGACTGCTCTTCCAGAGGTCCTGAGTTCAATTCCCAGCACCCACATAGTGGCTCACAACCATCTGTAATGAGATCTGGTGCCCTCTTCTGGTGTGCAGACATACATGCCGCATACATAATAAATAAATAAATAAATCTTAAAAAAGAAACACAAAGGTGAAATTAAAACACTTTTATGTTGATTTATTGATCTCTTCCATGTGCCTTACATTGTTATGTCTTTTTGCTTATCATTCAAGTAAGATTACAAGGTTACACAGAACAGGGACTTTGAGTTTTTTACTTTGCCTTATTAAAAACTATACAATAAATGTTTATTGACTCCTGATTTTTTTGAAGATTTATTTACTTTTATTTTGTGTATTATGGGTATTTAACCTACCTGTATGTCTGCGTACAGTGTGCCTGCTGCCCATGGAAGCCAGAAGAGGGTGTCAAAGCTCGTGGACCTAGAGGTACAGATGGTTGTGAGCCACCTTGTGGGTCCTGAGAATGGAACCTGAATCCTCTGGAAGAGCAGCCAGTGCTCTTCACTGAGCCATCTCGCTAGCCTTCCTTACCCTTTTGACACAGGGTCTCACCATGACATCCTGTCTAGCCTCGAACTCACAGAGTTCCGCCTGCCTCTGCCACCCGAGTGTTGGGATTAAAGGCGTGCGCCACCATTGCCTGGCAACTCCTTCTGGTTTTAATTTTCAGACAGTTCTAAGACTTAGACAGGGTAGAAGTAGAACCAGAACTACTAGAGTTGGAAGCAGAGAGAGAAAAGACAGCTGTAGGCACTGACAGCATGAAGATAAGATGCTTCTCTGGAGTCATAAGCAAGTTGTTAAAATCTAACACTTAGGGTCCAGAGAGATGGCTCAAGAGCACTTGTTCTTCCAGAGGACCTGGGTTAGGACCCATGGGTTAGAGGACCATGTTAGGGACACTAACATGGTGGCTCACTCCAGTTCTAGGGGATCTGATGTTCTCTTCTGGCCTCCACAGCACTCCACACTCACAGGGTACACAGACATACATAGGCCAAACACCCACAGCACATAAAACAATAACAAGTATTAAAAAGTATATGTGTGTCTTGTTCTTTGGAGGTGATGATAGCTGAAGATGTAAATATTTTCTAAACATTTTAGAGATCAGATATTGGGCCTAGATAGACTGAATATCTGATTTGAAATGAAATTTTATCCTATTATACAAAAGCTAATCTTACTTAGATAAAATACAGTTTTGTACAGCATGTTTTCCTCTTAAACTCTAGGGATTCTGGAGAGAAAGATGAAATATAGGTAAATTGTTTATAACTGTTTATATATTAAAGTTGCCTGATACTGGTAGGTGTGGCATTGACTTTGATCTAATACAGCAGGGCTGGTTTTCAGCTGGATTGTACCACTGTGGACAAAAAATTATTAAGCTTACTCTGCTTAAGGGTTGATTGAATATGAGTGATTGGCTTCCTGCTTCATATAAGTTGCTAAATACTTTTAATATATCCAGTTCTAAATTGTTAGAGTAGAAACTGTAAAACATTGCCTGAGGACTTTTCTTGTGTTTTTTGTTGTTGTTTGTTTTGTTTTTCGAAAGGGTAAACTGCACTATTACACTCTGTCATGATTTTCACCTGTGTATTTTGTTTTTAGAGTTAATAGTCTAATTCTACTAGATCAAGTATTTGAATTCATAGTTTAGTATTCTGTTTCTTGCTCTATATTTTTGTCAATTGTGATAATGATAAATAGAATGATATTAACTCATTACCTTACAAACTGTGTCATACTTGAGGCAGTTACTAAAATTTAGAATTTAAAGGTTTCAGTAGTGATTTGCAATCAATTCTTCACTTACATCACTTTCAGTATTATAAACAACTGCAGAAAGAGTATATCAGCGATGATCATGATCGGAGCATCTCGATAACTGCACTGTCTGTTCAGATGTTTACTGTCCCGACCCTGGTATGTATGAGATTTGCTCTGCTTTTTAAGACTTTCATTTGATGTGATATCAAATTAAAACCATGTGATAATCACAAAGTTGGGCCACTTTCATTTTGAAAATTTAGTAATACTTCTGTGGTATCTATGTGTGTGATAACTCTAGCAGTACCCAGGGACAAAACAACTGGAAACTGCCCTGTCCAAATGGTCCGCTCTTTACAAGTGACATCCAAAGCTGATTTCTCACTCTCTGGAGTGTTGTCTTTTCAACACCAAGACCTTGCATTTTTTTTTTTTTTTTTTTTTTTTTGGTTTTTCGAGACAGGGTTTCTCTGTGTAGCTTTGCGCCTTTCCTGGAACTCACTTGGTAGCCCAGGCTGGCCTCGAACTCACAGAGATCCGCCTGGCTCTGCCTCCCGAGTGCTGGGATTAAAGGCGTGCGCCACCACTGCCCGGCAAGACCTTGCATTTTTAAATTTTGCCTTTCTTTTGTTCTGTAGTTACTGTTTTTGGGGGATAAATACATTAAGGTAAGAGCTGAGAAAGGGAAAGTGTGCTTAGCAGTCTCTTCTGTGAGATAGTGCTACATAGGCCTGGGAGGAAAGAGGATTCTGCTTCCTTTTTTGTGCTATTTATTTTTCCTGTTTCTTCTTGAAAGTTTGACTCTAACTATTCCTATTTCCCCATTTCAAAGGGCCAAAGAACAGGATAGGGGAGAGAACTGAGTTGGGGCGGGGGAGAAATACCATGATAGATAGATAGCAATATGATGGAAATTGTAAGAGTGTCTTTGTTCTTCATTGCTCATTGTATGATTACAGATGATAAATATTTGTTAGATAATCTGTGTAATGGGCTTGGCATATCCACACAGGTGTTTTCTAGTTACTGAGGAAAAGAGAGCTTTGCTTCTAGAAACAAACGTTTACTCTACGAGTATATCTCAGTAGTATAACACTTGCCTAGCACACACAAGGCTCAGGGTTTGATCTCCAAGACTGAAAATGAAAACAAAATCCAAACCCTAGAAATAAACTTCTGAAGTAGTTGCTATTCTTTAAAAGCTAGGGATTGGTTTTAATGTTCAATAAACATGTATTAAACTGAGCATGGTAGCACATGCCTTTAGTACCAGTACTCAGGATGCAGAAGCAGGCAGATCAATATGGGTTCAAGGTCAGCCTGATCTACATAGTGAGCTCTAGGCCAGCCAAGACTGCATAATGAGACCCTGTCTAAATAAATAAATAGAAAGAAAAATAAGCATTTGTTATAAATTATTTATTTCTGGCCTTGCATGGTGACACACACCTTTAATCCCAGCCATTGGGAGGAAAGCAGAAGCAGGAGGATCTCTGTGAGTTCAAGTCCAGCCTGGTCTATATAGCAAATTTTAGGATATTCAGGACTAAAATATAGAGACTCTGTCTCCAAAACAAAGAAACAAACAAGTAAATTTATTTATGGGCGTGCATTCTTTAACTGATGCAGGAAATTTTAAGTTTTAATCCAGTCTGGGTGAATAGTGAGATGAGGTTTTAAAAACAAAATGAAATAAATACTGGTCAACTAAATGAATGAATAAATTAAGTCCATTACTATGGCAAGTTAATGCTAAGACAATATTCTTGAAATATTCTGCAGGCCCGACATCTTATTGAAGAACAGAATGTTATTTCTGTCATTACTGAAACTCTGCTAGAAGTTTTACCTGAGTACTTGGACAGGAACAATAAATTCAACTTCCAGGGCTATAGCCAGGACAAACTGGGAAGAGTATATGCAGTAATATGTGATCTAAAGTAAGTGGTTGGAGTTCAAAGGTGAGGGCATCTATTAAACACAATGTGCTTACTTGCTCTATCATATAAGTAAACATTTGTTCCTCTTGATTATCTAGGATTCTCTTTACTCTGATGGCAAACACAAAGAAATTTGACTGCCTCATGCTAATGCAGTTGGCCTCCACATCTGTGGATCCCCCAACAACTTGAAAGTAATAAAAAGATGATTGATTCTGTACTGAACATGTACAGATTTTTTCTTGTTTTTTAGACTACTGCAGTATAATAAGTGTTTATAGAACATTTTCTTTGTATAGGTATTAAATTGTCTGTGATGTATGTATGTAGGTTATTTGCAAATACTTTATCATTTTATATATTTTGGAAGTGGAGTTCTGGAATCATTCCCCCCACTAGTAACACAAGACTTCTGCAAGTGTCTTCAGCAAAGTCTTACTGAGTTTAAAACCAACTGAATAAAGAGGGTGCCGAGGGCAGGCCTGTCACGTGTACTTGGGCCATCAAATGACTCTCCATTGTAATTGCCACACTTTTCACCCATGTTTCACTCATACCCTTCATGGTTCCGTTCCCCTCAAATACTCTCAGTTTCCAATAATCTGCTTATTTTTCTTTTTACTTCGTTTTTGCATATATACCAGTCTAGTGATACTTATTAGAGTTTCCTTAATTATATTTTTCTCCCTGAAGAGGACTAAAAATTTATTTTTACACTAAAATTGGGGGGCTAGAGAAATCATTTAGTGTTTAAGGGCACATTGTACTCTAGCAGAGGACGAGGACCCACATCAGGTGACTCAAAACCACCTCTAACTCCAGCTCTAGGGGACCTTACTATTTCTTCTGGTCTTTGTATACACATGCACTCCCACATACATAATATATATATACACACACACACACACACACACACACACACACACACACATATATATATACACACACACACACATATACATACATACACACACACACACACACACACACATATATATTGGGTTTTTGGGGGCCGGTATAAAACAGGGTTTCTCCGTGTAGCTTTGGAGCCTGTCCTGGAATTCACTCTGTAGATCAGGCTGGCCTCGAACTCACAGAGATCCTCCTGCCTCTGCCTCCCAAGTGCTAGGATTAAAGGCATGTGCCACCACTGCCCAGCATTGAAAAACATTTTTAAAAAGTCTTAAGCCAAAGTTAGAATCACATGATAGAACAGTTCAGATTATTAAAATAAATTTCCATTTACTTTAGAAATGGTGAATGTTATAAGAATTCTGATAGATCAACTATTTAATAAATCATGGACTTGAAAAAATTCTTTTTGTATATATTATAATAAAGTATGTACTTAGTTTACTGTTTTTAAAAAAAATTCTAAGGTGTGGCTGGAGAGATGACTTGTCAGTTAAGGGCATTTGCTTCTCTTTCAGAAAACCTGAGTTTGGTTCCCAGTATCCACATCATGCAGCTCATAACTGCCTCTAACTCCAGCTCCAGGGAATCTGAAGCCTATGGTCTCCATAGGCATTTGCACCCATGTGCATATAAACACACACACACACACACACACACACACACACACACACACACACACACACACACACAATTTTTTAAAGTTCCAAGTCATATGTGATTGAGAAAAAGTTTTATCTACTTCTAAGTAAGGAAGGCAAACAAATGAGCTTCTAGCCCAACTTAAAAATAACTTAGTCTGTTTAAAAAGCAGGGTTAGGAGTTTAGCTTAGCAGTTGAGCGTTTACCTAGAATACCCAAAGCCCTGGGTTTGATCCCCACCCCTGAAAAATAAATGACACATTTCTGGAAACTACAGTGGCTTCTCATTTAATGAAGAGAAATTCTTCAAGACTTTCTCAAATTCTTTTTTTTTTTTTTTTTTTTTTTTTTCGAGACAGGGTTTCTCTGTGTAGCCTTGCCCCTTTCCTGGAACTCACTTGGTAGCCCAGGCTGGCCTCGAACTCACAGAGATCCGCCTGGCTCTGCCTCCCGAGTGCTGGGATTAAAGGCGTGCGCCACCACCGCCCGGCTTTCTCAAATTCTTTTATTTCAAAATGTCATTGTGGCATATACATTTTTTCTTTAGAATTTAGTAAATTGTTACATCATCACACTTCTAATATAAGTATTGATGGGGGAAGTCTTAGGGTTTCTGTTGGTGTAAAGAGACACCATGACCACAACAACTCTTTGAAAGGAAAACATTTAATTGGGGCTGGCTTACAGTTTCAGAGTTTTTTAGTCCATTAACATCTTGGTAGCATGCAGCCAGACATGGTGCTAGAGAAGGAGCTGAGAGTTCTACATCTTGATGGGCAGGCAACAGGAAGTCAACTGAGACACTGAGTGTTTCTTGAGTATAGTAGACCTCAAAGCTCACCCCCACAGTGACCCACTTCCTCCAACAAGGCCACACTTCCCAATAGTGCCACTCACTATGGGGGCCATTTTCTTTCAAACTACCACCGTGGATAAATCCAGTAGTGATCAGCATGTAGCCATTACCTCTCAGATGTGTTCCTTAGCTAAATTGTACATGATTCACGTTACTCAAAATGCAACTTTCCTAGTGGCTGTTCTTGAAGCGTCCTTATTAATTCATTGACGAGCCATGTTCTACTTTACAGAGTGGAATGTCATCACTGAGTTATTTTAGAGAAAACTAACATAATCTAAGTAACCTGCCCAATAGGTGCAGTTTGCTCTCAAAAGGGTTTGGTGAAATTTATTAGTAGTTCTCACATGGTAAAGAACTTTGCTTATATTAACTGCATTTTCATTTGTAACATTCTTACAAAGCAGGTGGTATAATCTTGGCTTGTAGGTTATAATTATTTGCCTAGGTTACATAGCTCCTAAGCGTGGAACTGAGATTTGGACCTGACTGTTTATCTGTACTGCTCAAATTTCTTTTATGACATCATAAAATCCTCATAAAATGTATAGACAGTGACAGTGAATGCTGTTCTGAAACCTTACCAAAGCACTATTCAGAAATATCCTTGTGTAGGAAATAGTTATTAAATCCTGTGTTCTGTTTCTTAATATATAAACTCTGCAGTAATGCCTTATTCTCTCTATATATGTTAATTTAATTTTCCCTGAAAGCTGCTTTTAAGTCAGTAATTGCTACAAATGCTTAATAATCCCTAAGTTCTTTAGAATGTGTAGTTCTCTACAGTCTAGCCATGCACTCTACTTACCTGACTGTACCTAAATATAAAATAAACCCCTTGGTGCGAGTGAGTACTCTGTTCACATTCCCTATAGAAATTTTAGTTCTTCCCAAAAAGTGAGTTCAAACTTTGAGTAGCCTTTCCCAGCGTTAGAAAGTATGCTGAACTTTTGTCCCTTTTGTGGCTTGCCTTGTTTGGTTCTAGCTCCCTTGTCCATTTAGAAATAAAAATTTAATTCTTAAAGACAGCAATCATATCTGCCAAGTCTCTTCTAAAGTAATATTTCCCTCTGCTGAACTTGTTCCTGTTGAGTGAGTATCATTTGTGTGTCAAGAAATGAACACAAGCCGGCGGCGGTGGCACACACCTTTAATCCCAGCATTTGAGAGGCAGAACCAGGCAGATTTCTATGCGTTCGAAGCCAGCCTCGTCTACAGAGTGAGTTCAGGAAGGCACCAAAAGTACACAGAGAAACCCTGTCTCAAAAAAACAAAACAAAACGAAACAAAAAAAAATGAACATAGTACCCCAACTGAAGTCTATCATCTGGTAAAGTCAAAGAGGAGGATTAATATCTCCTTTGCTCCCAATAACAAATCTCAATCTGATTTTGTAACTCAGTCTGTGGAAGGTATTTGATGAGGTATTTGGTGTCTTAATTTCTAACTTAGTGAAAAGTAGAAAAGAGATTCATTTGAACTTTGATTCTATTAAGGAAGTTTCCTTTTATTATTTTAACCGGTTTCTGTGTCCTATTTCTGAAAAGTACAGCAGGCCCTCCAGTCACCCTCCATTCCTTTCTCCTGTTACTTTGCTGCCGCTTTACTCCAGCCTCTCTTTCCTTTCCCTTCCTTTTCCACCCCTTGCATCTCTGTGTGTTAGGTCAGAGTCAGGCAGGAACCATGACAAGCTAGCAATGGCAGTTCTCTTCTGCCCTATCTCAGTACTTCTCACATTAGCCGAGGAGTTAGTGAAATGAAACAGCCAAACCTTGATGTCATACCTTTAATTTTTTTTTTTGTCTTTAAGAAATAACAACTAGCATACTTCATTTTCTTATTTGATAAGGTTCTTCTGCTTGTATTTTTATTACATTTATTGGTTTATTTTGTGTATGTGTGTGAGTGTTCGTGACTCAGCATGTGGGAGTCTTCTCCTTCCACTGTGTTTGTCTTCAGCATTGAACGCAGGTCATCTGGCTTAGTGGCAAGCATTTTACCTGCACGGCCATCTTGCAGGCTAATAATAATAAAAATAATAATAATACATTAAACTTATTGTTAATTATAATTAATATAGTTTAGTTAACACTAGAATTTAATTTATTATTATTATTATTATTGAGACAGGGTCTCTGTTAGTTCTGGTGTTCTGGAGCTCACTATGTAGATCAGGCTGGCCTTGAACTTGCAGAGATCCTCCTGCCTCTGGCTGCCAAATGCTGGTATTAAAGTTATATACTACCAGGCCTGGCTCATAATTATATTTTGAATTTTTAATATATAACTACCACATTGATGGTTATCTAAAAAAATAGCAGAAATTAAACCATATTCCCCACTATTTTTATAATTCATATTTTTTTCTATATTCACTGTATGATCTTTTATGGTCTGCATTACTTCCTTTTGTAAATCTTTCTTTGTGTGTGTGTGTGTGTGTGTGTGTGTGTGTGTGTGTGTGCGCGCGCGCGCCTAACATTGGATTATAGTGTTCACTGTGTCTGTTTTCCCAGTATTCTTTAAATTTCAAAGATAGAGTACATCTTATTCATGTTTTTGTTCCCAGTCTCTCTCTCTCACACACACACACACACACACACACAAATGCATTTTGATTCATTGAGTGCAAAATAATTTGTTTTGTTTTCAAGGCAGGGTTTCTCTGTGTAGCTTTGGAGCATGTCCTGGGACTTGCTCTGTAGACCAGGCTGCCTTCAAACTCACAGAGATCCACCTGTCTCAGTCTCCCAAGTGCTGGGATTAAAAGCGTGAGCCACCACCACCTGGCTGCAAAATAATTTTTAATTTTCATGATAATTTTCATGATAAATTTTATCTCTCTAAATTTGTACATCCTAATGTGCCAGGCATGGAGACACAGGGGTTCACATCCTTCTTTCAGATTCTGAGTTCTGAAAACCTGGAAGTAGGAAGTCTGTTTGAAATCATCTGTGCCTGAAAGGATTCGACTTGGCCTTTTGAGTGATGGTTATGAAAAGTCTGAGAAAGTCTTGTACTGTATTTATCTGTGGGTTTCTGTGACAGGCCTATCCTGTGACAAGCTACGTTGTTCACTTCATCATTCTGAAACAGAATTTAGAAAGCCAGGCTTAGCTTTGATGGCTGTCTCTTGTAGATAATACCGGTATTTTGCCAGTTTTATGTAAGTAAAGCAAAATAAATAACTCTAGTTCTGTCCAGAGGTTCTAATTACTATAGGAAATTAAAATTCACAATTTTGATGAGTCAACATTGTCTATAACCCTGTTAACCTTAAAATCATCTCAGAATAAAGAAGTGAACTATTTCTTTTTCTACTGAAATGACAGATATATCCTGATTAGCAAGCCTCTAATATGGACAGAAAGGTTAAGAGTGCAGTTCCTTGAAGGGTTCCGGTCTTTTCTGAAGATTCTTACCTGTATGCAGGTATGATAATTCTTTGGTGTACCAATAAAATAAAATTAGCTTTAAAAAAATTCCATCTTCTTTTTTCCCTCATTTTATTTATTTATTTTTTGAGGTTTATTTTTATTTTATTTATATGGGTATCTTGATTGAATTTGTATCTCTGCTCCACATGCATGCCTGGTGTCCATGTGTTGCCAGAAGAGAGCATTGAATCCCCTGGAATTAACTGGAATTTCAGTTGTGAGCTACCATGAGGGTGCTGGGAATCAAACCTGGGTTCTCTATAGGAGCAGTCTGTTCTCTTAACCATGGAGCGGTCTCTTCAGCCCCTTTCCTCATTTTTTAAAAAGAAATTAATTGTTGTTTTCATAGAAGAAAATTTCTCTGATGTAGTAGAAATAAAATATAAACACTAACTTGTCCTTGCTTTCATAAATGTGTGTGTAATTAGTTACTGCTGCTACTATTAATGCTCATTGAATGCTTATCCCATGATAAAGATATGGTAAGACTACATAAATTATCTTCAGCTTATAGGTTTATTTTGCTGTTTTGATTCTTGTTTTACACATGAGGAAATAGGACCTTCTAATTGCTGGTATTTGCAGTCAGATACCCATGAACTTTGTACTCCCGAAAGCTAGTGTTCTAACTCATATATTTTATAGTTTAACAGCCATGTTTAAAGACTGCATTTATGAGTATAAATCCTGGTATATTTATGTTGTTGCCATAGAGGAACAACAAGAAGAAAGGCCATGGATTGACTACTCTTTCCTTGCAGGGCATGGAAGAAATCAGGAGACAAGTTGGACAACACATTGAAGTAGACCCTGACTGGGAGGCTGCCATTGCTATACAGATGCAGCTCAAGAATATTTTGCTCATGTTCCAAGAGTGGTGTGCTTGTGATGTAAGTGAAAGATTTGGTAGCAAGATTAGTGCTTTTATAAGTGCTCTAGTAGTTATTACTAGCATAGTTTTGTGCTACAGCTTTTTTGATATAAAAGTTTATAATGTGACAGTCTTAGATACTTAAAATTATATTATTAAGTATAGGAAGAAAATTCATTCTTTTATATTGATTAGAAAATGTATCCTAGGGTAGTTTGCTTAGGAGAATTACAAGGTTTAAAAGTATGTGCCTTGGGGCCTAGAGAAATGGATCAACTGTTAAGACTTGATAACTTCCCAGAGGACCTGGGTTCAATTCTCAACTTTCACATGGAGGCTCATGTGTTCCAAGGGGTCTAACACCCTCGACACTCTCTTCTGGCCTTCACAGGTAGTGTACATACATGATACACAGATATATGATATACATGTAGGTGAAACAGCCATACACATAAAATAATAAAGTAGTTTTTTAAAAGTGTATGTTGGGACTACTGGAAAGATTGTTCAGGGGCTAAGAGTGCATAGTGCTCTTGCGTAGGACCCAAATTTGGTTTCTAGCACACACATCAGGCAGCTTACAACCACCTATTGCTACATTTTCAGGGGAATTTGACACCTCTGGCCTTCTTGGGCAACTGTGCATGTGTGTAGACACCATGTACAGACACATACAAATAGGCACATAATTAAAGTAAAAATAAAACCCATGTTTTAGGTGTGGTGGTACATACCTGTAATCTTAGCACTTGGGAGGCTAAGGCAAGAGGATTGCTCTGAATTCAAGGCTAGCCAGGGTTACATAATGTCAGACTACCCAGAACTATATATCAAGACCCTTTTGAAACCTATCCATCCCAAATTTTCCCATATGTACTTTCAAATTTATTTAAAAATTATTTTTAATAGTATGATAAATCATGCCATGAAGATTTTAAAATATTTCAAGAATAGAGAGGAATGAATATTAAATCAAGAATTTTCTTACATATATTAAGCACTTAAAAATTAATTTCAAAGTATGAAACAAGTGTATTGCTTAAGCAACAATTTTAAACCATAGCCCCCTCTCTGTAAAGCCCCAATCCTAAACTAGGGAAGAAGTAGCTTAGTCAGTAAAATGCTTGCCGTGCAAGCAAAAGGACCTGAGTTCTGAGCGCTAGCATCCACATAAAAAGACAGCCATCGTGGTGTGTGCTTGGAATTTCAGCCCTGTGAGAGGGCATGGAGACATGAGGTTGCCTGGGGCTCTCTGGCCAACCACCCTAACTAATAGGTGAGCCCTGGGTTCCAGTAAAAAAAAAAAAACACTGTCTCCGAAAACAAGGCAGATATTCCTGAGGGATAACACCCAAGATTACCTTTGTCTCTATAGGCACATGCACATACACATTTTACTTACACACACACACACACACACACAACCATAGATTTCCCCCCACAAGAGAATATGACTATTTATTCTTTTGTGTGTGTCCATTTGTACGTGTGTAGAGACTAGAGGTTGACTTTGGGTGTCTGTCTTATTGAGACAGTGTTTGTCACTGAACCTGGGCCTTACCATTTCAGCTAGACTGGCTGGCCAGCAAGCCCTCTGGGACCTCTTGTCTCTGCTCCCCCACATTGTGGTTATAGGTAGCCACTGGATTCCTCCCCCCCCCCCCAACAGGGTTTCTCTCTGTAACAGCTCTGGCTGTCCTGGAACTTGCTCTGTAGACCAGGCTGGTCTTGAACTTACAGAGATCCACCTACCTGCCTTGGAGATCCAGGGTGCTGGGATTAAAGGTGTGAGCCACCACCACCCAGCTTTTATTTTGGTACTTGAGGTCCAAACTTTACCCATGGAGTTGTCTTTACTGAGAAATTTGACATTTTCTGGGTGTCAGCTCCACCATTTCCTCCAGGTTTTCTGTATAGTGTTCATGATCTGACCAGGCCTCTCTGTGTCTTCACTCAGTCTCTACCCTTTGCTTCTTTTATCTAACACCAATCAATGCCTTTGTCAAGGCTCTTGGTTCCACTTACACTGCTCTTCCTGGAATTTGTCTCCTTTGTTTTTCCACTTCTTACTCCTGTGCCTGTGGGCACATAGACTCCGCTGCCCTTCAGAACAGTCGAAGCTCCTTTACTCGATTTTGTCTCCTCCTTAGACTACATTCTGTCTTTATGTTTCTTCTTCCCTCTGTGATCAGCAGAAGTCACAGGTTCAGTGTGACAGTCACTCAAATACAACAGGCTCTAATTTAGTGTGGTAGCTCTTTAGAGCAGGGCAGAGATCTTGGCCAACAACTAACAGCATGCATCCTTTGGTTCCACATCCTCAGGGAACAGCATGCAGTTTAGGAGATTTTGTCCAGGGGTTGTGTTCACTGTGATATCTCCTCCTATCGTCTGTCTGTCTGTCTGTCTGTCTGTCTGTCTGTCTACCTATCTACCTACCTACCTACCTACCTACCTATCTATCTATCATCTTTCTATCTATAATAAGTATAAATCTATATAACTGTTTTTACAGATTAGGTCCCACAACTTCTTTAGAGTTTGATTCTCTTCCTATTGATTGATTAGAAGTATTTTTAGAAAAATAAATAAATAACCGGGTGTGGCGGCGCACGCCTTTAATCCCAGCACTCAGGAGGCAGAGCCAGGTGGTTCTCTGTGAATTCGAGGCCAGCCTGGTCTACAGAGTGAGATCCAGGAAAGGCACCAAAACTACGCAGAGAAAATCGAAAATTAAAAAAAAAAAAATCATTTAGTAAGAAGAGTTAAAAGTCTTTTCTTAGTCTCCATATTCTTTGTTTTTTTTGTTTGTTTTGTTTAGTTTTTGTTTTTTGTTTGTTTGTTTGTTTGTTTTTTCCCTGTAGTGTTGGCCTGGATTAAATTCCTAGGTCATCTTGAATCATTCTTTCCCTCTGGTTTTCACAAGCCTACACAATACTAATAGTTTCATTATCAGTTATCAGCTTCAACTAGTGGTTACCTTTTTTTCCAATTCCTCATTCTTGCTAAAAGAGATTCCCCAACATTCCCTTTATAAAGATCTTTCATATCTTCTACTTAATTTAATTAATTAAAGGGATAAGTTGTCTAAGCTGTAGTCTCACTTTATTTTGTGTGCCAGATGTTTCTACTTAAATGAACATTTTTTATATTTCAGACTCAGAATATCTTAAATTGATTTGTTACCACTTGCTTCAATTTCCAGGGCATTTTGGCTCCTCGTGACTCCCCTTGTTCTGTTGTTGTTTTCCCACACAAGAAACCTCAGTGCCCGCATATTCTGTGTGTTTATTAATCAACATGCTGATACCTAAGGGCAGTGTTCCCAAAATTTATTTGGCTCTGGAGTTCCTTTTTCAAATTAGACCAGAGTGGAAAGCACTGTATTAATTTACCTGAATAACTGTGCTTCTCTTTCCTACCAGACTCACTTTAACTTGAGTCTTCTGTGTCCCAAGTGTGTGTCATCTTTCCGGTGTGTTGGTGTTTCCTCACTTTCCTTTCCTTCCTTTACCTTTGGTGACTCACATGAATTCTGAAAAAACAGATGGACTCCATTACTCTCCAGACACTGTCAATATATTTACATACTGCAGTGTTTCCAGTTCAATGTTCA